CAACTTTGTTGCGAGAGTATAAAAAAACTCCGATGCCTGGTTGCATCCAATAAGTTTCAGTGTTTATTTTAAGCTAGGGTATTTTTCACTTGAATTATTTACTAGCTTTTTGGCTCCAGCACACCTGAAGAACCGATGCATCACTGTGTTGAATAGAGAACCCAGCTACTTTCTAAAATTAATATACTTTTCTTATTATTCAGTCTTTTATCCACTAATTTAAATTGACTGAAACTTTCATGCCTCCTGTTTATCCCCCTCATCTACTAACCAATTGGCTTAAAGTAGGAAAAAGATGTATAAATGTTAAATGAATGCCACTAAACCAGTTCGATTTCTTCAGTTCGAATGCAAATAGCGCCTCCAGCGGTTTTAATTCGAGTATTTAGCATCTGCAGCTGCAGGTTCAGTTCGAACTTTAGCGGCGAAATTGCAAAAGTTTTAGCGTGTCAAATTCGTGGTTAACCACAAACGCAGCAAAACTTTCGCACCCAGTAAATCTATTGCGTGTGATTTTTTTTTAATTTTCTTGCATTTACCGACCTTACGAGTAAATGAAATGATTTGACGTTGAAATTAATTAAAGTGTTGGGTTTATGTTGCTTAGTCGGTGTTTCATTGCAGGTGAGAATTCGTTGAATTTATTCAGAAGTTATTACTTGATAATGGTATTATCATCTCTCATAGTTGAAGTTCTGTAAGAGACTTCGTGTTTAGTTGAATTTGAAGCCGATTAAATGGATGTTAGACTCATATATTATCGTATATGTAAAGTGATAAGTCAATGRTTAATATCTTTGTATATAAAAAGTACGTGTCACGTTGTTTAACCGCGATGAACTTCTAAACTGCTGAACCGATTTTAGTAAAATTTAGCACACTTAGTTCAGTTCAAACCAACTTAGAAGATAGGGTAGTTAAAACTAAATAAAGAATACAGTGAAAGCACTCTAAATGGACACCCTATAAGCGGAAAGTTCCATTAACCATGCACATTGTTGATGTTTAATAAATACAATCTATTAAGCGGACTGTCTATTAACTGGACAAAAACGTTGATAACCAGGCATTAACAAAGCAGCCTTAAATTCGTTATTTTCCCCAATGAAATTTGTTTGTATGAACGTATTAAAAATTGAACCTCAAGCACAATACCTTGGATACTTATACCGACAAAAATGTTTTCGCCTTTATTCGAAAATAAAATGTTCACTGTATTGAAAAGTTTATTATATGAATAATATTATAAAATGTATACCACAGCATTATCGGTGGCTGGATTCCCTTGTAATATATGTATTTAGTAGAGTCTAAAGATTAAATAAATTGTTTTAATATCCAACAGTTCATGGTTTAGATGATTCCCTGAGAATATAGCAGCTCTTCAGAGCTGCCTGGCACGAGCATAGTCCATTAACAGTAACAGAGAAAGAGTTGCTAAGCAAATACCACAAAATGAGAGATCCCACAACCTGGGGATAAGCCTCTCTGTGAAAGGAGGATCGACAAACAGCACCTGCTGCGAAAATAAGCTGCCATTAAGTCGCTGAATTTGGTAGCCCCGCAATCAAATAAGGCTGTGAAAACTGACGTTGAGCAWTAACAAAAGCTRCGTYAGGATCGGGAAGAACCTCTCCGAGCYGTTCGATACCCAACGAGGTWTCAAACAAGGCGACTCTCTATCGTGCGTCTTCTTCAACCTTCTGCCGAAGAAAACAATTCGAGTCGCCAAGCAGTTCATTTTTGATAGAATCGGCAAAATCTTAAGCTTATGTTCAGTAATACTTTGAAAGTTTATCTCAATAAGCTTCTGATCTTTCGCCTAGTATGAGTATTAGTGACAACGTCTTATTGAAACTTAATGGGCTTCTGCTATCTTTAATTAAAAAAAAAAAAAAGATGATCACATAAAGCCCCCGGTATGCAAACCTGTCCGTAAAGTATACTCTTCTGAATCTGAATCGGACTCTGTGGAATCCGTTTAAATTCAAAATTGAATTAACGTATTTGAGATTTTAATGGTTTGGGGCGTAGCTTAACGCGTTAGTGGAGGTGATCCGTTGAGAGCCAGATTATGTTAGGAGATTAGGTTTCCTTCGGTCCAAACTTATATATATATATACTTTTTTCAATTCTAAACATCCTTACCTATCATTATCCGATTATACGATCTCCTTTCCCAATATTTCCTWAATATTTTAACAAAACGGGAACAATATTGTTGGGAGTAAATATTGTCACTTGAAATAAACTTTAATACTTTAAAGCTAAGAAAAACTTTATACCTTTTTTGCAAACAAAAAAGTTTGACTAAGTCCATATATACCACTGCCCAACTAATCTAACATAAAAGTGTACAAAACCATGGTCTTTCTGCTAACAAAGCTAACTKAGCTGAAGTGCTGAACGGAAACGAATTTGAAGACAATGGCAATAAGAAAAGGACAAAGCGAAAAATGAGAACAGAGCATACACTTTACAGCGATTTTTGTAGGTAACATACTACTATAAGGGTATATACATATGGGTATATGGGTTTGTGCATGCATCAAGTGTGCAAGAAACAATGCCAAGCGTTCATTGACTGCAATTGAAGGTCGACTGAATTTTCGGGCTAAGGACACCAAATCTCGAACAGCATAAGTTTGTGTGATTGCGTTAGCGAGCAGTTAGTAAGCTTATTCAACCGTCTGGCAAATTGGGTAAATGCATGCCAGATAAGTATGTATGCTCGTGCTTATGCAACTAGCGCACACACGCTTCCATACCTGGTCACGTCTAAGGTTGTCTAAAGCTTGGTAGGCACTCTGGTAGTTCAGTAACACAAACCGAAGAGTGTCTCGCCGGCAGCTGTTTTGTTTTTAGACGACATACAGGCTTGTCAACCGGTAAATAAGACATAGGCACACACCAAAGAGAACACATGCACAACTTGTCGCACACAAAATGAAGAAAAGCAAAGTTCCTGAAGTGCTTTTTGTGATGTGCATAAATGAACTAAAAAACCGGGAGCTTATCGGGAGCMTATTAATCCTTTTATATCCGCCGAAGCGCCAGTGAGCATCTCGCACTTCAAGTGCATTTGCATGTTCTTGTGATTGCACTCCTAAAAGTACCCGGTAGGAAATGCTTTTTGGATGATTTCAAGTTTTTTGTGTTGTTTGGGATACTTAGGTGAGATGGTTTGAAATAAGAGAGGGAACTTAAGGCTAAAAGAAACACCAAATTAGAAAATTTTTACACCACAAAGATGGAGTGCGTGTGTTATGCGAGTTAATACATAAACCTTCATGGACCGAGTTTCTGATAAGTTTAATTGAAAACGTTATTAAGTGAAACGTGGTGAGCCGGTGCAAACTTTGCTATATGTTTGGTGCGGTTGATTCGCACTGTCAACATCACCCTATTGTCTGGACCTGTCATCGGGTGATTACTACCTGTTTATGTCGGTTACGAAATGATGCTGGTGAAAAATTCGATCCAAGAGCAGCTTGTCAAAATCGACTGCCCTAGTTTTTWGCCGATAGGAAGTTAGGGTTTCTTTGAGAATGATRTTATAAAATTATCTTGAAATAAGACTCYGTTAACTTCGGTTATACTGAAGCTGTAATAGCCTACACAGCTACAGGAAGGTAAGATGTAGAATTAGGTAATGAAGCATGTAGCCATTTATAGGGTCAGCGAACAGGAAACTTAAGTGCATTCGGCATTCGAAAATTTTTACGACGAGTGAAATTATTCAACCAAGCAGCTCCATTAAATTTGGTATGTGAAATTAAATTTCCTGGGGCGAAAGCTTTCAAATTGTTGGAAAATTCCGAAAATTGTCGCGAGCAAGTGTTTTTGACTGGTACAAATTATTCAAAGAATTATTTAACTGAAGATCAACTCGAACGAAGTAAAATAAAATAATTGGTGCTTGAGATTCGACGATTACCAGTCACAGATTTTACTGGCATCCTGAAAATATAGGAAGGATCAGTGAAAATCATTTTGAAAGATTATTTGAGCCTAAGAAAAGTGAAAGCACGATTGCTTCCAAAATCCCTCAGTTTTTTCGAAATACAGCGTTGGGTTAACGTCTGTGAAACAATGCTTTCCGACTATCGGGATRTCATGAAACTTATTATTACTGGCGATACKTCTTAGATCTATGCCTACGTCCCGAAAAAGCCGTGAATCATTACGGCTATTCCTGAAATTGTCTTTAACAACTGTTCCGAGGTTTTTCCACATCTGTCTATTCTAAATAATGTATTAACAGTGTGAAGAAAACATCGATTCCACGATCCTTATCGCCATGCTAAAATTTCTACTAATTCCAACTGTAATATATTGCCCGACTAACTGTTAAAACAACAACAATGATATGAATCAATAGGGAAGACACCGTTTTAATGAATGTTCAAAGTGACAAGCATAAATATAGTACGTTCGTTTTGAGTCAATTTGGGCATAAATTTCTCTAGCAGGTTTAGGATCAGACCTCAGAAGACTCGGSCCAAAATTATTGTTTGAAGATTTCTTATTTCTTTTATGACCACACAATTAAGAATTTGATTTTTTTCATGAAAAAATGAGCATCGAAGTAAAAATTTTCCTACAAGGCGGGTATGCACTTGCTTGCAAATGTCTATCTTATCCATTTTTCTACCTTTGACTGTGCCAAAACCGCTGACGGAAGCCAATTCACTTGCTTTAAATTTAATTTCATTTGTGTAGTYAGAAATTGGATCTTTCGTGTCTTAACTACGAGCATCCGCAGGCATCGCATCTGAATGGAGCCTTTGCCCAAATGCAAAATGCCCACAAAGTGGCTAAACTTAATTTTATTTTTAAATTTAGAAAAAAACGGCATTTTTACGATTTAACAACAACATCTATGGCAGTCTATTCCCGCAGCTTACCGCTGGCAGCGTGTTGCAACAAGAGAAAGGCGTTGCACTGCCATTCACATTCCGGGCSAAACTCACATCCGTATTGTGCTTCGCTCCGGCTTTGCGCTCAGACAATGCACCGAGAAGTGACGCTTTCTGGGCCGCGTGTCACTTACAGGCGTGAAATTCAATTCTACACACRCATACACTCACACAYAGTTAGACGGAGCGTTTCTGGGCTTTTGTGTTGAGTGCATGCATAATTTTTCGGCTGCGTCTCTAGTTCAAATTTTTTACAACGCTTTTATCGCCGCGATTTATGTGTGTCATAAAGTTTGGAAGTTTCTACCACACTGTAGATTTGCACTTCGCTCTGCGTTTGAGCGTGTGTTCATTGCTGTGTAATTGAATGTGAAAAACTATAAGAAAAGTTTTGACTTGTAATTTTGCGTCTCGGAGTATTTGTACCCTCTTAGTTGGCATAATTTGAATCCTAAAGTATGTGGTAAAGTACTGGCACATACACACAGGCATASAAACACAAACGAGTGAACTTTGGTGTGACTGCACTTGAATGCGAATTCCGAAAAGTTCGTTGGAATTGTTTGCAATTTTAATGTGTTGCACTGCTTGACAAGGCGTTACATGAGTCTCGTTGTTATGTTGCAAGTAATGCAAAGTCAGCCTCTTTTTGGATAAAATATATATAGTATTTCGTTTCCTAGTTGAGAGCTTCATTTTTTTGAATCCAATGCGAATTTCTTTTGGAATTTATAAAAAATGGGTTTTTGAAGTTCTATCATTTTTATTCCGTCGTTAGAAATTTACTTCGTCACTGAAGCTAGAGCTGTTTCCCATTATCTTTTAAAAAACTCAGACTCAACTAAAAGCTAAGCAGCTTTGGTCTCCAAAGTATGTGTTCTGATCTTATCTGATCTCTGCGCAATGGTCTACATCATATCCGTCCCAGTTGAGTAATCTGAAAAAGATCCGGGTGTTCATAATCTTATATAGAATTCTTCCTAAGAAACTGTTAACGAGTTTACAAATATTTTTTAAATACCTTAGTATGAGTTTTACATATAGAGTCGCCCTTAAAAAATCGTTGTCAGGTCGTTTGTTCGAAGAATAGAGACGTATATTGTTTTGAGATATCAGATTCCTGGAAGTCGTCGACCCCAAAAAGTACATTAAAATGGCGCGTATAACTCGATATCTGGATCAGCATCTTCTCGACTGTAGGAAACACGAAACTTCCGGTAAAAATACAATCTTCGAATAAGAAAATAACACCAGCCTATTGGTATACTCTGAAAAGCTACTTGGCCTCCTAGATCGTATGATTTAACACCATTCGGTTTATTTTCATGAGCTTATTTAAAATCACAGGTCTATTGCAACAACCTCAAAACTTGCTTGCTTTAAAGCAGGAGATTCAACGGTGTATCAATGAAATTCCGACATATTTATGTAAAATAGTCATGGCAGTGAAAGCATGACATCATGAGATAGTTACCCGATTCAATTACGATGGAGCGGACTTTCCCCTGCCTGAGCWTGAAGAAGTTCGAATAGCATTTACMCGTCTGAAGAACAACAAAGCGGCGGRGMCCGATGTATTGCCGGCTGACCTATTCAAATACGGCGGCGAAGAACTGTTAAGGAGCATGCATCAGCTTCTTTTTAAGATATGCTAGGAGGAAAGTATGCCCGAGCATTGGAATTTAAGTGTACTCCGACCAATCCACAAAAAGGGAAAGCCCACAATCTGCGCCAACTACCGCGGGATAAGCATTCTCAACATCGCATATAAGGTCCTATCGAGCGTATTGTGTGAAAGATTAAAGCCCACCGCCAACAAACTGATTGAACACGGCTTTAGGCCTGGAAAATCAACAACTGGCCAAATATTCTCTATGCGCCAAGTCTTGGAAAAGATCCGTGAAAAGAGGATTGATATCCGCAATCTCTTCGTCGATTTCGAAGCTGTTTTGACAGCGGGAGAAGGAGCTGCTTTTATGCCGCGATTCTGAATTTGGTACCCTYGCAAAAACTGCCGTCGGGCAATACCAAAAGCTCCGTAAGGATCGGGAGGTTTCAGGCAAGGCGACTCCCTATCAGGAGACTTCTASTGCTGGAGAAAATTATTCGAGCTGCAGATCTGAGTAAAAAAATAAAAATCTTCTGTAAAATTCTATGGATGAAAACACTCCAGAACTGTGTTTTCCAGAACCAGASTATTCGACAAAATACCCGCYGGGGAAAGCAGAAGAAGAGGAAGACCTCCACTCCACCGCTGGAAAGTGGTGTCTACGCCATTAATGAAGAAGAAGAATCATGAAAAATTATGACAAACAATGTTTATGTAAAATCGGTGTTATTCCATAAATAAGCCTATTTTATGATTCAATAAAAGAGATACAATCAAAAGACTAAAAACTGTCTCTTCTATTTAATTGCAATCTTGGTTTAATTTTGGAACACCCTTTACAACTTCGAAAGCAGAAACATATACTTATAAATACGAGAGTGTTGCTGAAGAGAGAAAACTCTGAAACTGATGCTTTTAAATTTGCCGCTTTGTTTTAGGAACATTGTTAAATATACTATTCCAAGGTTTACTACTCTGTCGCAGTTTAGTTATTAAATTGAAGCGGTTACTTTAATATTTTCTTCTCATAGCTTTATCGAAAATTAAAGTTCACTCACCAAAGGTGGCTTATCCGCCATACGCCGGCAATTATTCATTTCTGTGGGTGAGTTATCCTCCTCGGAGCTCGGTGAACGCGGCACCGCATGTTGACTGGGTTGCAGGTGCGCTTCCAAAGGCGGTTCATTGCAACTGTGTGGGTGAACAYTTAATTAGCTTTAGCTTTACACTTATYTATAGAGGTAAAAAATGGGCTCTATGTGTGACATACCTTAAGCTTATTTGTGGCAGTAGGTGTATGGGGCGTCGCGTCTGTGTGGGTGACACACGCGACATGGGCTGTTCGACGCGCAAACGTATGTCCTGCATATCGATGGTAAAACTACAATGAATTTATTTTTTCGTTTTTCTTTTGTGTTTTATTTCACTAGTTGTTAGTTCCAAGAGCTGTAAACAGAAAAAAAAAAATTAGCTTAGACAATCGTGTAGTAAAAATATTAAATATTGTGAGATACATATATTATCGCTATGATTAGTTACCTTACAAAATAACTTAAACTTTTTGAAACACTTGCAAATTTTCAAAAAACCTTTAATTAAGCATATAAAAACAAATATAAAAACGTAATGCCGAAACAGTGGCCACAACTGAGGAGGACTGCACTTAATTGTATCTGCGAACGSAAAGTTTTGGTCTTCATACATACCTACGTACATATATATAAGTATAACTGTAAATATGGAGGCGTTCGTCTGCTACTCACGCGGCATCCCTCTTCCGGCAAATTGTGCGGCWTGTCAAAGTCTTTAACTTCATTTAAGTGGCTTTAATGGTACTTTGCCACCGCATATCAGATTCTTGTCTCGTCAGCAACTGTTGTTGTTTCGGGTTTCAAGTTTTTTGTGCGGTCAGATATTTGAAATGATGTGGCCAGAAAGAGTGAAAGAGTTGCTACGCAGATTTTCTAATATTGGGACAACGGATGTCTGAAGCTTAAGTTTATTTCAGGCACAGCGGCCAATTTGGTGATGTCTGGTGCAAAAGCGGTTAAACTTTTGTRGATAAGACTATTAATATTCAAATGTTTTTATAAGTGAAATGCGCCTTGCAAAGCAGAGTACTACTACCATTTGCTTAGTACTGGAGAATAGGATAAACTTATTTTCTTTTACAATTTATTATAGAGTTAAAGTCAGTGAACAAATCATTGGATTAACCTTTTAAGAAACCCTTAAATCTCCTTCGGTAAACCGCAATGTTGTGAATATAACCGCCAGCCTTTTGGTAAATAATTCTCTCTAATGTGTACAGGAGGGAGGAGGAATGCGTCCTGTGTTGGAGTTCACGCGAGTGAGGAAAATTCTCTAGTTGCCATTCAGTTGGCAGTGGCAAGAAATTATTATTTTACATATGGCTCAAACAGCTCACGACTTTCGGTCAAGTATTCTCTGGGTAGCCAAAGGACATCCGTTTGAAGGCGAGCTGAAGTAAGAAGGCGAACCATCCCTATCCAGATTGTGCGCTTGGTTTGGGACTTGGGCCATGTGAAAAATGCCACCAATGAAAAGGATATCATTCCGGTGTGTAGGAATACTTATATRTTTCCCACAAAGTGATTAAGATCTTTTAATGTTTTCATTTAATGTGGGCATAAACTATAGAAAATACTGCTCAGATGCCTGAACTTCGTAAAAACGGCACCCATTGATGGAGATTACAGCATATTTCCATCTATCAGTTTTATTAGCGGCTCTTAACGGTGTTTTTGCTTGCGTGATCGATAAGTTCGCAGAAAGCCCTCGCAAATAGCATGCTCTAGGCTTCTTAATAATAATTTTTGCTTGACCAGAACACAAATCGTGAGAAGTGCAGCAACCTTTTCTGGAGAGAGATGTCTTCCTTCAGCGGAAATGGCCTATTCTAACTTAAATATCCGTGCTTCTCTTTAGAACTATTTAGGAAAGATATTTCGAATTTAGAAGAAAATTTAAACATTTTTGAATTATTTACGGATTCGATGAAAATTCGATCTATGGTACTAGTATTTGTATTTTAGGTAAGACTTGGAAACGCTTATACGTTATACCCTGGCAGGGTGGTGACTTATCATCTGAAATTTTGCCTACGACCTTTTTCCTCAGGAAGCAGTTCGTTTGTTGCAACCGATGTCGGACTACTATAGGATATAGCTGTCATACAAACTGATCGATCAAAATCAAGTTAAATYTATTTGTATACCCTTGTCTGCTAGAAATGAAAAAAGTTTCGGGCTTTTTCTTGTTTTCCTTTTTTGATAGTAATTATTTAATTAGCGCCTTCATATATGAACCTGAACTCGTTTCGTAACTTGACAAAAACAAGGTTCAAAAGCTGTGAGAATATTTATTATTTGTGTTTTAATTTTAGAATTTATTTGAGTGAAGTAATTAGCAGTTATGATGAATAAACTTTATCATTTCCCTTGACCCAAAAATAAAAAGGTATACAGGGTTGTCAAATAAGAGTAATATGATTTAAAAAAAAAACACATTAATAGTGAAAAAAACTTAAATGTCTTTCTTAAATCGGTTGTTGCACGTGCTGTGTGGCACRYRGCCGYATTTYGTTGGAACCAGATGTTGTCAAGATCAAMTTCTTTCAATTGGGGCCATAAAAGGTTGGTTGTCATCGATCTATATTCGTGCTCTTTGATAGTAACGGTGATGACACAGCTTCATTTCGACAGAAGTACGGACTGGTGATTCCAGCAGACCCAAAAACTACGCCAATTTAGGTGAGTGTAATGGTGGCGCCACGTAGCGAAAAGACGAAACGACTGTCGCGCTGTTGTTAACTCGGCTATAATCGCGTAAGCGGTGTCTACGCCAATCAAGAAGAAGAAGAATGGTTATTCATGAATAATTTGGGTGTTTTCTTCGCACCAGAATCGATACTTTTGTTTATTTACCGTACTACTCAGATGAAAGTGGGGCTCATCGGAGAAAATGATTTCATTAAAAATATCTTTGCCGTCTTTCACGTCATTTGCGGTACACCAATGACTTCAGTACTTGAGATAGAACAATTTTATACGGATGCAAGACCAAACCCTTTCTCAAAATCCTCTCTCCCATGCCAATTTATTAGAACGTCTTGGAATCGAAAAAATGCTGTCTTCAGCAACACTTGCTTGAACGGCAGCAATATTTTGATTACATCGAGCGGTTCTTTGTCTTAATGGTACTTGAGCATTATGCAAAGAAAATGTACGCGCGAATCTTTCAACAATTCGACGAATATTGGGCGCAGGAGGACGATAATTGAGGCCAAAAAAAAGCGCACGAAAAGTTGCAATTGGAGAACGATTATTTTGATACAGAAATAAAATAGAAAGAAAAATACAGAAATGACCGTAATGACAATTAGAAATCATATCATCCCTTTTGGAAAACCTGCTATAATATTACCTTATCATCACCACCACTTGTTATGAAAACTTTCCTCCAATAAATACAAAACGAACTTAAACAAAACAGGAAGTCGCTTGAGTAAGTAGTTTGAAAAGCTTTTAATTTTGTTTTATGTCCAAACATAACCTAAAAGTTATCGATAAACCACATACAAATTTGTTGCCAAATTGTATTCAATGCAAACGCCAGCCAACAAACCGTCTCAGTTTTCATAACCGAACTTCATCGAGCAATGGACAGACATTAGTGGCATTATGATTTTATGGCATATGTGTGGCACAAAATGCTTAATAAGCTTAAAGCGTCCGTCAGTCGTTCACAGTTATGGACATTTTGTTTTTGCTTTTGTAAGTTTTGTTATTTTATATGCTGTTCATGAATTTTGTCCAGCTTCTAGCAATTTTGTGGCAGTTATTGTTTACACATCATTGAATTCTATGCGCGCCTGGGATAAGCTTTCATTTAAGTGTATGTGTGATATGCTTTGATTTTATTACTAATATTTGTTTATCATGAACCAAAGTTTAGCAATCCGATAGGCAGTAAGGATAGAGACACATATGCATATACATTTTTATTTGTATAGTTRGTTGTCTGTGGTTTATTAGGCAATTGTTATTTAATATTGCTTAACACTAACTGTACAATTTTGGCTATAAATGACACCGTAAAAAATAATTGTATAAAAATATGTGCATTTCACTTTCGTTTTAGTTTAATAGAATCTTCGGATAACGGTTATATTACAAAATTTGTTTTTATCGTAAAATTTCACTCGTTCCAAAAGCTTTGCTTAAGGCWTTTGACCTGACACTTGACTTGGGAGAACAATTCGTTCTAATCTTTCAAAAAACTGGGTTACAATCCGGGGGCCTGGAAACGAGTCAGAGTCACCTTCATCCCGAAGGCTGGCAGCAGTTCCCACGACACAGTCGAGGACTTCAGACCCATCAGCCTCTCCCCCTTATGTAACAATTCATCAGTCTCTCCAGAGTATTTAGTAAGAATGAAGAGAGGCTAATGGATTGTTACATAAGGGGGCGCATTCTGAGAGACCATTTATCAAGAGGGCAATATGCTTAATACAAAGGCAGGTCAGTGCACACTGCCCAGCATACTGTCGTGTCATGGCTTGAGGAAGCTATTGGCTTAAGGAATTCCCTTTTGAGACATTTCTTAATATAGAGGTAGATTTCAAAAACATCCTGCCGGAAGCAGTCGTAACTGAGCTGGACGGTCTTGGGGTTGAATCAAACCTCAAACGCCGCATTTTCAGTCTTCTGTGCGGCAGAGTGATTGAAATTGAATGGAAAAACGCATGTAAGCCCACAAGGTGAATTTCTCTCCTCTCTTCTATGGGCACTGGTCGTTAATGACTTGCTTAAAAAAGTAGCCGTAGGAGGAACTAGCCAAAAGGTTTYAATCGATGGATTTATWGAGAGAACACTTCAGCGATCAGATGAGTTTACGTTTTGAGCCGCTCGACAGACCACCAMGATCGTATAATAWCACACTGTTARACATCTTCCTRTGGGAATATGTAAAGTCTAAAGTCTATGCGGACAATCGCGCTTCCATTCAAGCCTGGGAGCAATACATCGCGCGCGTTATTCGCCAGTTACCAGTCGAAATGCTCGAACGAGCCATCGAAAATTGAACTCAACCGATGGAACATCGGAGACGTAGCCGCGGCCAACATTTGAAAGAGATAGTATTCRAAAAATAAATGACAAATAATGTTTTTTCRAATGATAATAAATTTGCAGCGGAAGTTAATGTTTTTTTCTCGTGCTTAGTACAAATACTTACTGATTATTTRCTTAATGATATTTCATTAATATTAAATAGTTACTTCCTGGCTGTTGTCYTTGTTGCCCTTTAAAAAACAATATTCTGGCCGCGAAAAAAATACTCGATAACCTTAACTTTTCTTATTTTTAAAAGTGCTCACACCAACTTTCCGCTGCGAACCCAAAAAGCTCATAAGTTAAAAAATT